TTCTCTGTTCCGTACCTGGACACATACCAGCCAGGATACGACAGAGAACTCGCCGTGACTCGGCGTTTTTTACCTTTGCTTCGCCCGCAGGTCACTCGTACCCGGCCTTCATGCCGGTCAAATCCATAGTACCAAAAGCAACAACGTTCACTGGACCTTGTCTCCGTAGCGTGTCACCACCGTGATAGGTCCGGCAGGCGGATCGCCAGGAGATCAACTGAGCAACAGTAGATCAGCAGATCGATCCACGGCGGGCACTAAAAATCAGTCATCACCTCAGCAGAGTACGCCGTTTGCACGCGTCAGCAGGCCACCTGCTTAGCCGGGGTCTACACACAAGCCTCGATCACTTCCACGAAGCCATACTGCTACCATTTGGACTCCTCGTTTTCCCCTTATCTTTTCTTTAAATTTCCCCTCGATTTCGACTGCCTGGCCTATGCACATTACCTTTAATTTGAGAAAAGGGGATCGATGCGCGGTAGAGGACACCGCGCTGACCTCGCTATCCTCACGTCCCTGGCGACCACTGACCGACAATGCTCCACAGCACTGCAGAGCGCCGAGCCTGAGTACACCGATGGAGAGTCCACGTGGCACACTACTGAGACGCGGACGCACCTGGTACAGTACAGGGGTCTAAAAACACGGTATGCCTGATACCCGCGGAGGGTCTTTTCCTCCCTCAGTCCTTTCTTTGCCTCGACAGCGACTGCACCACTCTGCATGCATCCTGTAACCTGTTTAGAGAGGGCCCCAGCTCTTACCACTCTGGTCTTTTCACAGTCCCATCCCTGAGCAGACCCGGTCTCAGCACAACAAAGTACCGAGCCTGCCAGATGTCTGTAGGCTAAAAGGCTTGGTGCGCAGCGGGGAGTGAGCGGACGCCTGGTACACAGCGGAAATAGATGAGCTGATGTCTGGTACGCAGCGGAGGGCCGAGACACCGCGCCCTCCGACAGCGAATGGGAGCATGCGGGTGATAGGCGGAGGTCTTCGGGTAGGAGGCGCATGAGTGTTCAAGGTCTGATGAGGAGAGGAGAGAGGGCGTACCTCGTATATGTGGGTGGGGGGCATTGGTGTTGACGTCATGTACATTGGTCTTCAACGTCTGAGTGAGCCTATTGCGAGAATGTGGATAGGCTAGATAGGCTCAGTAGCGTAGGCTGGGCGCTGGGCGCCAGACAGAGATGAGGGACATTGGATACCGTGTTGGTGGGGCCTGAGGGCGATAACATTGGCACACGAGTACACTGCTTTGCTCTTATTTGGATGGAATCTCGGTGCAATTGAGCTCTCTGCTTGGTAAGTCATCATCTAGAACATAGTCTCATATGCAGGGGTGGGGTGAATATCACTTCACGCATGGTTCCACTTTGCCATTGCTGTAGTGGCTCAGAAACTTGGCTCTTGAGGATGAGGCCTCCTGTTTGGACTTGAGCGTGCATGAAGGAGATCTGAAGCCAGTAATTATGCTGACTACATTTAAGCCCGGTAACCATCCTGAAAATAGCACCACGAATGTGGTGGCAGTTGGGAGTCGGGCTCCGCTTGTGTGAAGTTGTGGATATATGTGAGTGGGGCCGTGTCCCCTCATAGTTTGGTGGTCAGTGCTCGATGGAGCTGGTGTGCGACACATGCCTGGGTGGTGATGTGTGCGTGTGTGAGTGAGTATTGGCGACTACAGCCATGAAAGAGGATGGAATGGATATCACGTTCGGTATGGTTTCATTTTTGAACACCGCGCCATGGCTTTACTGGTTAAGAAACTTGGCTCTCGAGGCTGAGGATGCTGGCCAGTACCTGTACCGACTCATGAAACACATACATCTATGGATTGCTGCCTATACGAAGCTAGCGCCTAATCCAGGCTCCCACGAAGGCAGCACTGGGGGAATGACGGGCGGCATCTGTACGAAGTGACTCGAGGCTGTGCATGGTTTGGTAGAAGGCAGAGAGAGGGACAATAGTGTTGTCCAGTCACGCACTTCCAGCCTGTTCTGTATAAGACAAGGCTACAAGCCTACAACTGTGCTGTGCCCCTGTTCCTGCTCCCTCCCCTTCCGCCTCTGACAGCCCCTTTCCTGCCCGACCCCACAAAAAGAATGAAAAAAGAACTCGGCAGACTAGTAGAGAGTACTCCCCACTGGAGCCCCACTGCAATCTTTTACAGGAGGGGTGGGGGGGGGGGGTTGTCATGCGAGTATTATGTGGCGACGTTACTTCACAAAGCGTTGACAATGAGAAACAAAAACAAACAAATCGGCATAATTTGACTGCCCCATCCCTTTTTTTGGCAATTTGGTGGTTCATCTACCTGCCCAAAGTGGAAACAATGAGAAACTGACAAAGAAAAATGATCATATGATCATACAGATACCGAATGAAAAGGGATGAGCGGAGCACATGTAAAATGGGTGTAGCTCAGTTGGTGCACCCATCAACTGTGGAAATACAGACCAAAGTTCGAATCCAGATGCAGCCATATGAACAGAACAGAATCATTTGGAATTACCTGCGGCCAGTCCATCCAAAGACTATATCTCAAGGCTGTGGCCCTTTGGCAGAAAAAAAAGGGATGAGAGGAACACAGCCGAAGCGTCAGCAGCAGCAATTACATTATCATCATCATCTTTATCACCAGATTCTCCCTCCCCCGCCACAATGAGCAAATGGTAATAATTCAATTATAATTGAAAATAAGATAAAATAAAAACCATCATACCATGGTGGTGGTGGGTGTGGTGGTACTGGGAGGAGGAAAACAAGGAGAAAGAAGAACAGGGAAGGCTTAACACGCTGAGTTACACAGTTCAAGGCCGGTAGAACCGGCAGGCCCTCCCCCAACCGGAACCAGACTGGTCCTACCCGCCGGTCGACCAGGCCGGTTCCCCCCCCCCTTCGCCGTAGGCCAGGGTGTTGTAGAGGCAAGGACTAGACCCGCGGTGATCGCTGGCAACGGCAGCCAGAGGTTGTCCTGACAGGATAAGGCCACCTTCCCTACCCTTCCCCACGTTAATGCTCCCAGTGCACCCCTACACCTACTATCCTAACTCAGTGTGACCAGCACTCAGGACCGTCGCCCTACTGGTATCGAGCGCAACTTCGACCAGACAGCAGTGACAAGCACCCCCTAACACTATCACCCCCACGCCCCTTTTCGAAGTTTTTTGGGTGTGAAGTACCGTCCCTTCCCTGCCACTAACACCCCCAGCTCCCTTTTCAAAGTTTTTGGGTGGAAGGTTAAAGTTTGCAGAAAGCCAGGTACGTTGTTGTCAACGTCTGCTGAAGCACGTGGTTGCTGAGACCCCACCACGAACTCTCACCATAAACCCCCCAACCCCAACCCCTGAAACACCCCCCTCCTCAACCCCCCAAGCCTCCAACCCCCCAACCCCCCAAACACAGTTTTCTTTGCGGATTTGGGGAGATCTCGGCAAGCGCAGTCCAACCATTTTATGAAGAAAACTAAAAATAAACAACATTTGCCTGAGCATTACATCCAAATTTCTTACCAACTGTGAAATAAAAATAAAATACGAAAAATAAATACTGATAATAAAAATAAAAATAAATCAAACAACAATTAAAACTAGTAAGTGTGCGAGCACGTCTTCCACACCGCCATCTTTGGCGATTTTTCATTTCTTTTTGGCATGGCATAGCAAAAGCAAAATGCTGGTCTGGTTTCCTCGTTAGCCATGCCCTGAAAATTTACAGATGTGTACCTCACATAATAGAAAACTCGTTACGAAAGTTTCAATTTCTTTTTTTTTTTGGGCCCGAAATAAAGTGAGAAGTTGAAAACAAAAAATAAAAAGAGAAAAAAAACAAAATAGCGAGTGGGCGAGCATGTTTCAACACCGCCATCTTTGGCGATTTTTAATTTTGTTTTGGCTTAGCAAAATGACTTCAAAATCTATAGGCATGTACCTCAAATCATAGAGAACGCATTAAAAAAAAATCAGAAAAAAAACATTTATTTTTAGGCCCTGAAATAATTTTTGGCGGGGGCCAAACGCCTTTGGGTTCGGACCCCGAACAGGACCCCGAGCGCCCGTTCGTACGGAGGTCGGCCCGAGAGGTCGGCCCGGGGACCTCTGTACGTAAGAGCTGGTGACCCTGCATGGCTTTACATTCTTTTTAGCTACTGGATTCCATGGCTTTCATGTTCATCAAATTTGAAAGAGTAGAATAATGAGGGATACCGTTTCGAACTTTTTTTTTCCCCCGAGTAAATGAACTTAAATCTTTTGCATGCATTTGGGTATACAGTCTCGAGTCACTAGACCAACTTCACGACCATCATCCACATTCCACAAGACTCCGCTGACCCATAAGGGCCATAAGCGAACACTGAAGAAGCTCTCTCTCTCTCTCTCTCTCTCTCTCTCTCTCTCTCTCTCTCTCTCTCTCTCTCTCTCTCTCTTTCTTTCTTTCTTCCTTCTTCTTCCCCCCCTCCCCCCCCTACGATTTCAAGGGTTGTT